AGGTGAGGGACGGCCACATGTGTGAGCTCTACGACAGCCCTGAGGTCAAGGGAGTAGAGCTGATCCCAGGCCTTCATGACATCGGTCTGCAAAATAGTGGTCAGTTGTGACCGAATCCCTGCGTTATTCACCAAAACATCGAGTCTTCCGAAAGTCTTCACCGTCTCTGCGATCACACGATTCAAGTCATCACTTTTGGTCAGATCTGCGACCACTTCGAGGGGCTGACAGGGAAATGGATGTCATGAAAATTAGTAAACATATTATAAATAGTAAAAACAGACTGTCGCTCATTTTAAAACCAAACTTAATAAGTATTTATATTTTTATATAATAAATAAATTTCTCAAAATAATCTTACAATTCATAATCTAACCTAGGAACATACAAAACACTCATTTCAATTCTACTTTAATATAACTAATAATTTAATTTTTAATTTATACTAACCTTTAGTTTATAGGGCGATAGGTCTTCACACTCTTTGGCAACCGCTTTAACCTTTGCATCCGTAGTACCGGTGACCACCACTTTGGCACCTAATATGGACATCAATTTTACGATACCCTCCCCTATACCGGAACTGGATCCAGTCACCAAGATCACTTTACCCGTGAAATTACGTGAAGAATCTCTAACGGCTTTATAATCTTCAATACTGTAGTCGGCAGTGACTGCAACCCATAATAAGGCGATTATTAATAAAGTATTCATTTTATAAGAAATTAATTAGACGCTTAATAGTGATTTTATTTTTACAATCTTAATTGTCTTATTGGTACTTGCTTCATTTTATTGGTTTGATCCGCTGTTTATATACAAATTTGTAATCGATTTCGATCTTAAAATTCTTTCAGACACCCATGTCAATTATTTACTGTCAATTATCTTAAGTAGATCTGGGTGCTAATTCAGTTCAAATGTTATAATGCGCTTGCTCAACAATCAACTACAATTAGTGCATGTGATACCCTAGTATACCGTAGTTAGTATTATAAACTAGGAAATAAAATGCTGTAAATTATGAAAACACTTCAAAATAGATTGTTATAATCAATATACTAGTATATTATCTATTGATAATAGTTACCTAACACTATTAAACTAATAAATGCATTTATTTAAGAACGGTATTATGATAATCATCAAGAACATAATGTATATGTACACTAACAGTATTATGTTTATTTAGGCTTACAATTGTTGGCAAAAATAAGTTATGTAATTTCTTGGAAATTAAAATATCTTATAGTTATTTTCATTGATTCAAGATTCATTGATAAATAAACTTAAAATAAGCATTAAACATATTTATTTAAAAACACAATTTGTATTAAATATTTTCTAATTTATGTGCATATACTTATAGTTTATAATTTATAAAATTATCTAATTTTAAACATAATATAATAATATAGATCATTCTAAAGTTAAATAAAACTCATAATATTTCAAAAATAGTTTTATTAATGACACGTTTTATTTATAAATACAATGTTCATAATAACAATTTTAAAAATATTTTAAATACATTATGAGTAATGTAGTTTATATAAAATTAAAAATATTTTACAAGAAATAAGATCATTTGTTATAATTATAACTTTGTTTGTAGATGTCAAATGACACTTTAAATTATGCTATTCAAACCATATATCATTAATATCATAAACACAATTATTTTCTCTATTTTTCTATATAATAATAGACTAAAAATTATTATTAAATATGTTATTAAATAGAAAATCTTTAAATAGTCCGTTAACTCTGATAGTGTGTACAATCATTATATTTCTAATATAACAGTGTTAGAAACAGTGTATTATAGTGTATTATAGTGTATAGTGTACAAAGTATTATAACAGTGTTTAACATTGACTTAAAACCAAAACATATAACAAATTCTAAACATATTATTAATGAGTTTAATATTGCAATTAATACAGCTATTAATGGTAAGTATTGTACTGGATTATTATTATTTAAAATAGCAGTAATTTTGTGGGGAATTTCGTAATTTACAGAAATTATTAACTTTATAATACAGGGAATTATATAGTTTTGATGAAATATTTTATATCATATACTCATCTGCTGTATAATATGAACTACAGGTCAAAGTCTGTTCTCTTAGACCTCCCGTTCCCTTCCCTTTCCCATAAGAGAACGGAAAGGGAAAAGAAATTTATTAACAATTAAACAATAAAATATAACCATTAAAATATTTATTTAAAAACATATTTTGTATTAAAAATTTTATAACTTGTGTGTTTATAATTATAGAATTATCTAATTTAAACATCATAATATAAATACTGTAATTTAAAACTTAAATAAAACTAATATAATAAAAAAATTTTAATATTTTCATTAATAACACGTTCGAAAACTATCTATACATAAAACAATTTTCATAATAACCATTATATTTTTTAGATATTTTAGTACATTATAAGTAATTTCGTTTATATAAAATTAAAGGAATTTTACCAAAAATAAGATCAGTCATTATAATAAATTATTTAATTATCAAAAGTTTGTATTTAATACAGTACAAATGACACTATAAATAATGCTAGTCAAACTAGTTACATCAAATAACATTTTAATTTTACTTTTATTTGTAATATCTACATTAATTGTGTATTTTAAAATTATTGGCGATTACTCATTAAATTATAAATCATCACAAACTAAATTAGGTATTTACATTAATAATTATTTTACTAAACTCTAAATTATATTTTATATAAAAAAGTAAGTTATATTATTTTAAATAAATAAATTACTACTGTATAAAAACTTTAAAAATAATCATGTTTATTATGTTAAAGAAATATAAGTGTATTTCAATAACTCTTAATTTTATTTTAAATATTTGTCAATTACAGTAAGAAATTAATTATTAAATATTAACAAAATTATTAAATTAAAAGTAAATTATTTTTACCACAGATTCACCTTCATATAACGAGCGAGATCATAAAGTACAACAACTAAAATTGTTAATAGACTCCAAGATTACTCGTCTACAAAATCCCATAAACTGCAGTTCAGCCAAAAAGTTTGTTTGCAATGTTGACTACAAGGGAGGGTTAGGCTATATCTTCCAACACTATTCCTACTGTTTTATAGCGGCCTTACGTCTCAATCGGACCCTTATTTTCACGCCAAGCACTCAAAGCTTTCTCACGTTTTACATCAAAATATTTTTCCGACCCCTAAGTCACACGTGTGTGGACTCGGATGGCGACAACAGCACCACATGGGACGGGATGGAGGTTACCATCGATAAGACAGTTGACTATCAGGTCATAGACTTTTGGTTTGGCCGCAGTAAATACCTTACATTACACGCGTGGATACCCACGCAGATATCCACTGAGTTGACATCCCTGTCCACTCAGCCATTTGTGCTATTCATGGGATTTCTATTACAATATCTGATGCGACCGTCGGAGGAGTTACGCGAATATTACGATAATT